TTTTTGCAAATCTGACTCCAGAAACGCATCACTGCACTACCGACTGTGTGTGTGAGCATCGGGGCCATGAGAAGACCGAACCTCCGCAGTAAACGTGAAGATGGCCTTTCTGAACATCTGCATTTGAAAGATGAAATTTCTTGAGATCTCTGCTCTGTGCACCTGAGTGTGTGGTGGTGGCTCCCTTACCCTGTGCACATTCCAGGTGACTGTGGTCACAGAACGCGTGTCCAGTGAGCCCGACAGCCGTCTGGCTCCTGGGTTCCACCTCTGGACCTGTCGTCTGCAGATGCAGTTGTCTGCTCACACCTTACACACCCGTGTGACTGAGGTTAGCACACCTAGTCTTCATGCTTATGGAGGTTCATATGCCACCGTGACCTGTTGTGTGGCTAGTTCTGCCGTGTTTTTATGTTTCTCAAATAAATCCCCCTTTAAATGTTAATAAATGCTCTTAAAGAATTTTTAACAATTATTATCTCTAGAATTAATATATCCCAGGATTTGAACTTTCTGGATTTTAGGCTTTAGGAATTTTGGACTTCAGAGACGGTGATCTTTCAGATTTCAGCATTTGAGATTATGGTGTTTGGGATTGTGTCTTTCAGGACTGTGGCCCAGCTCTTTCGTCTGATCTTTGTTTTGGGGCCCGTGACTCTCCCTGAGCTGGTGGTCCCCTCAGACCTTGGGGTCATTCCCGTGGCTCTGCTCTTCAGCCGGATGCGCTCTCCTTACTCTCTGCTCTCCCTCAGGGGTTTCATCTGTTAGTTCCCAGATTTCCTTCATTTTGTTGGCAGCTTTTGAATCTTTCTGCTGTTGGGGAAAGTTCTGGCCCTTAGAGGGGAGGGTCGGCCTTGTTCTGACATGGTGGTCCAGGCTCATTTCCTCACCTGGTTCACTAGTAAAAGTGACAGTGTGGTCACAGGAGGATGTTGCTGTAGCATTCCTCCGAGGCTGCTCTCCTGGTGGGCCTGGGAGTCACCACTCCAGGCAGTGGCTGCAGGTCAGTTCCCAGCTGGCCTCTGAGCTGGGCCACATTCTCCCGCCCAAGTTCCAGCTAGGGGTCCTCTCATAGGAGAAAGTCCAACCTGGGATACTGCCTTTCAAAGCCATCCACGATTTCAAAGCCAGAACAGCAAGACGCACAGAATTGCTGTAACCTGTGCTCCTGCAGGTGCACTGCAAGACACGTTTCTCCCTGTGTCGAGGAGTCTGCAGGCCACCCCTGCGCTGTTCTGCACTGTGCAAGCTCACGGATGTGTGGGGTTGGGAAGCAGAGTAGCGTCAGGTGTCTGAAACCCCGTATGCAGGTAGGCCCGTGACCTTTGTGTCAGGACAGGTGCCTGCAGAAGACGCGTCTGCACTAGAGTGTCAGACCTGAACTTGGGCCCGGGGACAGGACTGCTGTGCTCGTCCTGCTCTGACTACTGATTTGCATACTGTTCCTGCCTAGCACCCTGAGTCTAGGGCAGGGCTGGGTGGGCACAGGCCTGTGGAGGGGCTGGCCCGCTGCAGGTGGCCAGGCTTCACCGTGGGTTCTGATCTGGGGCAGCAGGCGTCCAAGCAGACGGTTGGGCCGTCAGTGCAGTGGAGAACCTGGGACTTGCTGACCTAGGTGGCCTGCAGGCTTCTCCTGTGTCCTCGGAGGGAAGGGTACAGGTGTGCCTGCTGGTTTCTGTAGCCGATCTCAGCCACCAAAGTTGCACAACTGCTCTAGATGTTTAGCTGCATGTGAAAAATGCCACGTTTGTGGGGCTGTCACTCACAGTGAGACTGTCACAGTGAGACACTAAAACTGGAGGATGTTTAAGTGGGGGCCTCCTCCTTTAGAAAGGAGATTATCATGACAAAGTTGAAGGATGCAGAGCCAAATAACGGCCTCCCAGGTGACTGTACAGTGTCAGGGACAGGGTCTGTTCACGGCCATCTGGTGGAGCCCTTCCTGTCAGGGAGCAGCTGTGTCCCCACTGCCATGGTCTCTCCATGGTGAACCTTGTCTTCTTCCCAGTCTCAACCTTCAAGCGCCACGGTGCCATTTCCTCCCCACTTGCTCTCTCCCTCGCCAGCCTGAGACCTTCAGGGAGGCCCCAGGGAGGCAGTGTTGGCAGCCACCTGCTCTCTTGTCACTTCTCCCTCCCTGTGACTTGGGCTTCGGGAGCTCAGGGTGCAGCCTCTGGCTGCAGACAGGCCCCACCTCCATGCTCGCACAGCCTGGCGTGGCTCATGGGGATCCCGTGTGCCCCAGACCCCACAGGGCAAAGCACTGAGACCCCCGCTCCACGTGGGACCTTCAGGGATCTTTTAGAAGCCCAGAGAGGCTGGATGGCAGAAGATGCCTTCTGTGGAATTAAGCGCATGTGGTGTCACGCATGGGGATGCCCAGCTGCTTGGGACGATGGCAGGAGCAGAGTGGGAGAACCCCCACCAGATACTCCGGAGGAGGCTGGAAAGGGGAGTGTCTGGGGTGACAGCGTGGGGCAGCTCCTAGGAGAGCGCACACACGTGGGAGGCTGAGCCGTGGCAGAGGTGTGCGCGTGGTGAGTGAGGAGCGTGGCACCCGCGGCAGCGAGGCCTCTTCAGTTGTGCTGAGAGTTTGAGAGAAGCCCAGACCCGGCCCCGCCCAGCCTTGAGGCACAGTGGACTCTCAGCAGCAGTGCATCCCTGGGGAGGGCTTTGAGTGTCAGGGACAGAAAAGGTGGCACAGAGACCATGCAGAACGCAGAGCTGACAGATGCAGAGAGCCCAGCACTGTCCTGACAGCAGCACCCAGCGGTCATGGAGGCTGGACATTAGCCTCCCTCAAATGGCAAGTGCTTCAATACCGTGTGTTCCACGGCAGTAAAACCATACAGGGGACGGGGTGATTTCTGCAAAGGCCCTTGTGTGTTTCTGCATTTTTAAGGGTAGTGTGTGCATGTGCTTTGGAGGTGCCTCTCAGAGACCTCAAACAAGCAAGTCTCTGAGCCTCAGGGGCTTCTGGGTTTTGCTGTGAAGCTGCCCGTAGAAGGTGGGCCAGGTCTGCCAAAGCCTGATCGGTGCTCTCGTTTTAAGACCTCACACGAGGGAGCGGGACTCGTCACCCTCCTGGGTTACTGCTGGGTCCAGGAGCCAGGTTGAAGGAGGCCGCAGGCCTCTCCCGGCCTCCTGGGGTCCACGTGGGTCAGGCGCTCCGCCCACGTCCGGTGGATGTTCCTTGGAGGCATTTTTTCAGTTTCCTCCCATCAGTTACTTTAAGGATTTGGGGTTACATTCTTTGCTCAGGGTTATTTATTACTCAGTTTCTTGGTCAGAGGTACTAGAAGTTCTGGGTAATGTTTTACGGTCCTCACTGGAGCGTGAACTTGGGTGACTCTGACCCTTGTGCTCAGAAGGCCCCACATGTGCAGCGTCGGATTTCACAGCCTCGTGTTTCCACTCAGGAACCAACTGGTGGCCTTTGGCCTGTGTTTTCATAAATTCTCGGTCCTTTTAATACGGGGACCCACCCACCGCATGTTCCTCCTTGGGAGCGCTCAGTAATGACTTCGCACACTCTGAGCATCCCTGAGCTCAGCACGAGTGAGACCTCCTTCCCTGTTGAAGTCCAAGTGAAGGGCACTGTTCCTCAAGAAGTGCCTGGTCCTTTTCCTTTCTGAGCAGTGGCTGCTTCTACCCACGGCAGAGGAGCAGTCCTGGCCCTGTGCCAAAGCCAGCCCTCTGGGGTGACGAGAGGCAGACGGCTTACTTTTCCTGCTCACCAATTCTCTGGTCACCACATCCTAGACACCTTTTTACATGGGCATAATCCTTTAAAAGGGCTTGTGAGTACGGCTCACCAGCTGCTGTAGGTGGAAAGGGGCATTTATCCCTTTCCCTCTGGGCTAGTGCCTCTTGCAATGGGTGTTCCTACCCTGACCGGGAGCCCTGGGATAGATTGTTATACTAATGAGGTTGAGTTCCTGAGTCTTGCCTACAAAAATACACCTAGAACGTTTTAAAGGAACATTCTGGGTGAGTAGATGCCTACATTCCACAGAATGTCAAAATCTCAAAGATATTATTTAAAAACCACTATCATCAGAGCGTCTCAGAAACAGACACCTAAGGTTTTAATCTTCCCCTGAGCAACATGGCTGGGTGAGGAAGCGCCACTGTGGGCTTTTGGTGATGAAGAATCCCACCTTCTACAGTTCAGGAAGCTTCACCATGTCCAGAATGGTGTCCCTCTTGTGAAATTTCTAGGTGTAAATAAATCCAGGGCAGGCGTAGGACAGGCTTCCTGCTCACGTGTGGTGCCTTCCCGGATGAACTGAGGGCTGCGTTCTCCCCAGGCGTGCTCACCCCAGCTCTCCGGCCCGGCTTCAGGAGCTCCCAGCTCAGCACTGCACCCAGGGCATGCATGGCTTCCTTGGGGTGGATGACCCCTGGGTGACCAGGCAGACAAGGATAGAATGGCCACCTCTGAAGGGAAGGCGGCATCCAGGTTAGGACTTGGAAATTGCCTTCACGGGGAAGTTCTTGGGATGGGCTTCTGCTGGATTAGGCTGCAGTTTGGGGCAGGCCCTGGGTGCTGCAGAGGGACTGAGCCACTGTCAGCCCTCTGTGTGCCTAGGGCCTGCGGCTGACTGCTCCGGTGTTCTTAGCCCGGAGTCCACGGGAGCCCTGGTGGAACAGTGGCTGAAAGCCACAGAAGTATTGTGTGGTTATAGGTGATTAAGTTCTCTCCCCCCACGCTGCACACGTGGGGCACTTTGAGTGAAATGTCACTGTCAGTTGACTAGTAACAGTGGAGATAGATGCACGTGGCTGGGGACCCAGCTGCTAAGGAGAGAAGCCCTGCATGGCGCAGCACCGCCTGCTGCTTGGTGGGCTCCTGCAGGAGTCCTGGGTGTAGGTCCGGAGCAGGAGCCTCCTCTGCGGCCACAGGCGTCTTCCCTGCACCAGGGCCACTGTTGGATTCCTGTCTTGCTGTGTTCTGACTGGAAATGGTAACCTCCCCTTTCACGTTTTGCATCCTCCAGGGGGACAGCCGCGGCGCTGCTGCTCTTCCGAAGAGGTAGCATCGACTGTGCTCTCCAACGGAGACCAGAGTCACAAACCTGGAAATAACCCGCCAGAAAAAGCCGCCAGTGAGTGCCAGGCGGGGGTTGCAGCTTCTGTGTCCATACTTGAAGGCAGTAGCAGAGAGACTTCCAAACGCCCTGAACAACATAGATTTTCTATTGACTTAAAGATGCCAGCATTTCACCCCAAGCAGGAGGCGCCCAGCTCTGGCGACGGTGTGGATTTCCCTTCAGTTATGGAAGGAACTGACCTGCAGCCTGCACTGGAGAGCCATGCTGGCCACCCTAAAGAAAAGTTGTCTGATTTGCACAATAAAGAGCATTCTGGGGGAGGAAAAAGGGCGCCCTCTGCAGACCTGATCCCACTCGATTTGAGCATGAGGTCCACCCGGGATGAACCTGGCAGTAAGGAAGCGGTCCCCTCCCTGCAAGCTGCTTTGGTCACTCACCCATGTCCTTACTGCAGCCACAAGACCTACTACCCGGAGGTTCTGTGGATGCATAAGCGTATCTGGCACAGGGTCAGCTACAACGCCATGGCCCCCCAGTGGACGCAGCCCAGTGGCCACAAGAGCATCAGAAACCACTTGGTCTTCCTGGCCCGGAGCGGACGCACGGGCCCTCCACCCGCTCTTGGGGGCAAGGAGTGCCAGCCCCTGCTCCTTGCTCGTTTCACCCGCACTCAGGTGCCAGGGGGTGCGCCAGGACCCAAAGGCAGCTCTTCTCCCCTGGGGGCCACCATGAAAGCCGCTAGCATGCCTAAGAATAAGGAGAGCCATTCCGGGAGCCCCTGTGCACTGTGGGCATCTGGTCCTGACGGGTATCGGCAGGCCAAGGCAGGCCACAGCCAGGAGCCTCCCAGTGCTGCAGGGCAGGGGCCCCCAGCCAAACCCAGGCCGGAGGCCAGCTCCAAGCCAGCGTCTGTCCTGGGCAGCGGGGGCCTCGGCAGAAGTGCCACCCCCACGCCCTCTGTCATAACCCGGGTGGGTGCCCAGCCACTGGCCAACAGCAAGCCCGTGGAGAAGTACGGAGCACCCTCGATGGGGGCTGGCTATGCCCCTTCAAATAAGCACAGTGCCCCTGACTCCCTGAAAGCCAAATTCAGCCCTCAGCCTCAGGGCCCACCTCCTGTGAAAGGTGAAGGGGGCCCTCCACTACCTCCCCGTGAGCCCCCCTCAAAGGCGGCCCAGGAGCCGAGGACTCTGGCCACCGGTGCTGCAGGATCCAGAGGGGACGCAGCGTTGCAGGCCCAGCCGGGAATGGCCGGGGCGCCCCCTGTCTCACACTCCACCAAACAGGAGTCCGCAGCCGAGGGCCACGAGAAGCGTTTGGACATCCTCAACATCTTTAAGACGTACATTCCAAAGGACTTTGCTACGCTCTACCAGGGCTGGGGCATCAGCAGCCCTGGGCCGGAGCACAGAGGTAAGACTTGTGGGCTCCCTCTTCCCTGGACACCCAGGAGCCCCCAGGAAGGTTTGCAGGTGTGCCATCACATGGCAGGCTGTCCTCCTGGTCCTGGCCAGCCGGGAGGATGGGAGCAGCTCCCCCAGTTCCAGGGTGACCCTGTAGAGACTGGGCCAGGCCCGCGGTGGGTGAACCAGCCTCCCTGCTGAGTTTGGAAACCCGGCCCCTTGCTCCACATTGAAATCTGAAGGAGCAGGCTGACCGGAGGACTACCCGCCTCCCTTTTTGTCATCTTAAACAAGGCCTTGGTAGAAGTTGGTTGTCCTTGTTTCTCAAAGGAGGACGTCCATTTGAAGTGGCCATTGAGTTTTACACGTTAACTTCAGAACATCTGAGCAGCCCTCCAGGAGCAGTGGCCCATGAGCTGTAGGACCCCAGAACTGGTTGCTCTGCCGCTCCTGAGCCCGTGTTCCCTGTCCCTGGTCCGGTGGCCTGGGACCTCTGTGGAGAGCATACGGAGTTGCTGACTGAGCCTCTCTTGGGACCAGAAGGGTTTTGGATTTGGATTTGTTGGGATTTTGGAATCTTTTCATATGTATAATGAGAAGTCTTGGGAATGGGACCCAAATATAAAGACAAAATTCATGATGGTTCATGTGTACGTTATGCCCAGACTCTGAAGGTAATTTTACATAGTGATTTTAATGAGTTTGTACATGGAACGACGTTTGTGCACTTTGACCCATCAGGGGTCAGTTGTGGAGTTCTCTGCTTGTAGTATCATGTGAATCAAAGTATTTTGAATTTTGGAGCATTTCAGATTCTGGGATTTCAGATTAGGTTACTTGGCCAGTACTGACCAGCAGTTTTCCTCATGCCCCGTTGGATATGATACTCTTGCTCTTGAGTGTGAATCAGAGGTCACTCTAACTGACCATCCAGAACACCAGGAAATCTAGACCCTGTTGAAACAAAGCGGATAAGCCTGCTGTGGCGCTCTCTCTCCATTCATTACCAGGGTCGGGCCAGTGCTTCTTGAAACAGAATGTCTGTCTTGACCTGCAGTTTCTTAAAGTCGGTCAGTTTTTTAAATGGATCCAGTGCCTCAGATTCTTGGAAGTCAGAAGCACCGTTGGGGCCAGGCCCTGGGCTTAGGGGACCTGCCGAGAGGCCTCCCGGGCCTTGGCATGGCCATGCACGTGGGCAGGGGTGCTGGCAGGAACGTGGGCTCACCTGCCGGGCGCCCTGTGCGTGGAGCTGTGTGCCTCCCTGATCTAGGGTTGCCCTTCTGGAGTGGAGTGACACTGAGTCTGCCTGCCCTCTGAGGAGGGCCCTCAAAGCGTTTCTCCAGGGGAGAAGTCTGAAGTGCTGTCCACTCCTGGGGTCTGCAGTGAGGGCCTTGGAGACCAGCCACTGTGCCTGTCTGATACTCCAGATGAGATGAGGCTCACAGGCACACAGGGCCTGAGGCCTGCCATGCTGACCCTTATAGCAGAGGGCCGCGGCTAGCACTGTCTTTTTCCAGGTGCAGTTAGGTGAGTGGGGTCAGTCCCGTGTGGCCTTGTAGATGGCTGCTACCGGGGCAGTGCTCGTGTGTGGCTGGCCTTGGGTGGAGGCCACCTGTGGTTTTGAGGGTGTGAGTTTCCTCTGAAGAGGAGCCTTTGGCACAGGGGAGAGGGCTGCCTTGCTGGTACGGGGTCTTGGCGGCTCCTCACCCCGTCCTCCTCTTCCTCCGCTGAGCTGGGTGTCTGTGCCGGGTCTTGACCACTTTCTCTTAGCCAGCCACACTCCTCCTTTAAGGAGCTGACGGCTAGGGGTTAGGGTCAAGTATTAAAAGGCCCTGGAGCTCCCCGGGGCCTGGGAAGGACCTGTTGTTCTCATAGAACTGAAGTTAAGGTTTGAGATCTTCAGATGACAGAATTTGAAGTATGAGTAGCAACAAATGTTTTCCTTAAAGGTTAAAAAAAAAAAAAAAGAATGGTTTTAAGGCCTTTTTTTTTTTTTTTTAAGAAAGAGGTTGAATATCGATCTTTGCAATGTGAAAAATACTCAGTAGTCCATAGAGCAAATGTATTTTTAAAATTATTTATTCTTCTAATGTATACATTGAAACACAGGAATAAACCTGCAAGTTTATGGTCCTCAAGTTCATTCTGATTTTTTTTTTTCCTTAAAGTTTTGGTACTGGACACTGAACCCGCTCCTGGTTAACCACTGAGCCATATCCCTAATTCTCTCTTATATTTCAGTTAGGGACAGGATCTCACTAAGTTGCTTAGGGCCTTGCTGAATTGCTGAGGCTGGCTTTGAACTCTTGATCCTCCTGCCTCAGCCTCCTGAGCCTCTGGGATGATCTGGGTTTCTTAAGGAAAAGTGTTTTAGAATTTTTGGGCTTAAATACACGTATTAACTAGCGCATTTTTAGGATTCTACCTCCCAGCTTTAGAGAAGGGGCTGAGATGAGCTCGCCCAGGTCTCTGATCAGTGTGCTTTGAGGTGCCGACCAGCTTTAGGTCAAGTGCCCTGTGGAAGGACTAGCTGCCCTGGGGACTTGAGCTCTGCTTTCTTCAGTGGTGCCACATTCCTTGGGCTGCTGGCAAGCGGATCGGAGCTCTCTGACAGTCCTCTGGGCCCTTGGCCTGCTCCCTGTACTTTCCAGAGTGAACATTTTTCCTTGAGCACTGCTCCCTCTGCGGCTGGACCTTTTGTTGTTTCTAAAGCATGTAATGTGCCATGCCGGAAGGAAGCCTGGCAGGCTTGGTGTGTCTGACCCCCTGAGAGGTGAGCAGAGCGCGACGCTTCCTGCTGGCCTCTGCGTCTGCCGTGGGGTCTCAGGTGCAGAGCAGCTGCACCATGGACGTGCCACCCAACACTGAACACACCTGAGGTTCTGCTTTCCGCCTGCTTCTGCTCAGAAGCAAGGCCTGTGTGTGCGTGGGTGGAGGTGGGAAAATGAGGGTGGTTTTGAGTCGTATCTGGACACGATCTCCTTCCTCCCTAGTCAGCGAGTCATTCTGGTTTAAAGCCTGGGGGTGCCAATACTTTCTGACTCTTCTCTCATCCCCCCATGCGTTTGCTGTGTGTCCCCTACAGATGTGAAGACCACAGCTTCTCTGCAGGGGGCACCCACTGGAAGCACAGCCATGGCAGCACCTGTAGGCAGGGTAGATGCCACCCGCTGTGTGTGACATGGCTGAGGACGCCATGCGTGGTCGTGCCACGGGGTGGACCCCTTGTGTCCAGAGAATGCACCATGATGCTCCTCAGCCACCATGATGGTTAGGAAGCAGCTTCTCAGAGGAGTTCTGCATGGTTTTCCCTGATGATGCTTCTGTAGGATTGAGTCATTTGGGGGCCCCAGCACAAGAGGAGAGAAATGACTGTCCCTGTCTTCTTGGGAACATGAAGTGTAAAAGCCTCTGCATTTTCTGAGATCTGCTGCAGTGTGACCACCAAGTTTAGAAACATGACTGTAGCACAAGTGGTTCATTGATGCAGGAGTAGTAAAATACCCAGCCACGTGTGTCTCTCCAGACCTCAGGGCCTGCCTGTGTTGTATGATAATGTGGATTTCAGAGCAGAAATGTGAAGATAATGGAATGATGATTCTAAATAAAATAACATGCAAGGTCTTTCTTATTATAGCTCTCAAAAAATCGCTCATACTAAGGACGTATTAGCACGACGATTGTGTGTGCTCCCTGAGCAAGTTCCAACTCTGTGCGTGGAGACTTGCTGGTCTCCCCGTGCGGGCGTGTTGCCTGTGATAGAAGCCATGTGGTGAGGCCGTGTGTGCCCGAGGCTGGCTTGGGCCTTCTCTTCACTCTCCAGGCCACCTTCTGCACACACCTGAAGTTTCTGGGTCAGCGTGTTCAGACTGCTCACCTGCCAGTCATCAGTTCAGCTGAAGTGTAGGACCTTTTGGATGAGCTCTCTGTTTTGGCCTAGGCTTAGCATGATGTCATTGTCCACAGAGGACAAGCACCCGTCCTTCAGGAGTGAAGAGAAGGTGCTCTGGGAGATGCACGGCAGATCAGTGGTGGGTGTGCTCACGCACACGTGCTCTTTCACGACGTTCAGGTGGGCTTGGAAGCACCGATCTTCCTGTTGGTGATTGAGTAAGAAGTAATTTCCTGTTAAAATAGTTACGTAGAAAATGATGATGTCGCCGTTGTTGGATGTCGTGGGTGCTGGTGTCTGCTCACCCGTAGGTTGTGTGCGGCCCCTAGACGCTGTCCAGACTGTACCGAGGAAAACCACAGGATCGGGGTGCTGGCCGGAGATGTTTCCCAGGGGCTGGCTGCAGAGTGCGGATGGAGAAGCTGGGTGGGAGCGCAGTGGTTCTCTGGTGGAGCTTTCCTAAACGGGAACGAGGGGAAGGCCAGCACTCCCGAGCAGCTGAGCGTCAGTCAGCACTGGGCAGGCCGAGTGTGCCCCACAGAGGGCGGGCAATCCCAGAAACTTGGCTGTCCATCGGAAGCTTCCTCGGGGTGGGGGATGCAGCTCAGAGGCTGAACACCTGGCCAGCACGCATGCGGACCTGGGTTTGCTCCAGCACTGGCAGGGGAGGGGAGCGTTGGTTCGTGTGCTTTAGGCATGAACCCTTTGCAGACACAGGGTCTGCTGCTTTTCTCGGTTCCTGGGCTGCCACCTCCTTGGTTTCCCTGGCTTGCTTTCTGGGTTTCTAGTTAGATGCAGTCCCATTTGTGCATTTTTGCTTTGGCTGCCTGTGTTTTGGGGGTTATATGCAACAAACCATTGTCCAGACCAAAAGCCTTAGAATCGGGAACGTGAAGCAGTAGCATCATGGGTGCCCAGGACACCTGGGCGTCTCCCGCCTGAATGGCCACCGTCCTTCTGTCATGAGCAGGCTCCTGTCCATGCTGGGCAGTGGCCTGTGGCTGTAGACGGGTACTGGATAGAAGTTCCCTCCCTGGGCTTTCTCTGTTCCTGAGCAAGGCAGAGAGATGCCTTGGGCTTCGTGGGCAAGTTCTTAGATTTCTCTAAAAATATTTTTCTCATGATCTGTCAAATAATAAACTGGACAAGGGCTGGGCTTGAGGCTCAGTGGCAGAGCGCTGGCCTAGCACATGTGAGGCACTGGGTTCGATTCTCAGCACCACATAAAAATAAATAAAGATCCATTGACAACTTAAAAAATATAAAAAAAAAATTGGACAAGATCTACCTTGACATCTGTATACTGTGTTCCTATTTCCCCAGTGTTGTGTTGCCTAAGGTGACTTTATGCTGGTCTGCGGAGCCACTCTGAATTGGGGCAGGAAAAGCAGGTTGACCACGGGCCTTACAGCCGGCTTCACTGTGGGTCCTCGTCTTCCTTGCATTAGCTTTCATAGTCAAACGTCAGACTTTAAGGCAGAAATGCTCACTCAGTGATGGTCCTTTTAAGAATTTGTTGCTCAGGCCTGACTTTCTACTTGGTATCCCTCCCTGGAGTTGAGTTCCCATGGGCACCCAGAGGCAGAGGGCAGATTCTTTAGGGCTGCTGTTACATGGAAAGCAGCTTTTCCACAGCAAGAGCAGGGCAGGAAAGGGGCAGAGAGAGCAAACCCCGGCCCTTCCTTTCCTCCCAAAGCCAGTGGAATCTCTTTGGATCCGAGGAAACACAAGCCCAGGGCTCAGGTCCAGCGTAGTCAGTGATCTTCCAGGACAGCTGGGTGTTGTTACCTCTCACCAAAGCTCCTGGGCCACCACCGTGCGTGCCCGGAGCTGCCGCCTTGCCGGCTGGCTTGGGGGTCCCGTTTGTTCCTCTCTGCTGGGGCAGACAGGAAGGAGAGTCAGGGGGTCTGGCTGCTGGGGGTCTGGCTGCTGAGGGCCGTGCTCACTCAGGCAGGAGCCAGGGGCACTGCTGGGCTCTGGTCCTGGCCACTTCCTGTTGTCTGTATGCATCACCTCTGTCACGCCCTGTCACTCTCATTTGCCCGACAGACATGCTGCTTGACAGCTGAGTGGTGGTGGCCGTGCATCCAGCTGCTCAGAGCCACACGCCCACCACAGCCCAGCAGCCCAGTGGTGCCTCCTGGTCCCCATCCTGTCCTGGAAGCAGTTTTTAATTCCCTGTAATTTATGCACCCTGCAGTCCTGAGCATGCCTGGTCTGTCAGCCGAGCTGAGATGAAGGCTGGCAGTTGTCACCAGGGCCTGGAGGTGGCCTCCCACGCTGATGAGTTAGACAGACTAATGATGTTTTCCTCTTCCCCCCTCTTCCTACCCTCCCGACTCCTCACCTCCATGCCAACCACACCAAACGTGCCATGCCACACCACGCCACGCCACGCCACGCCACAGCAGGGACGCTGCGGACACAGGCTCGCCCGGGAGACTTCGTGTGTGTCGAATGCGGGAAGAGCTTCCACCAGCCAAGCCACCTCAGGGCCCATGTGCGGGCACACACAGGTACCACCGTCCCTGGGCAGCATGGTGTGGGGGCTGCGTCCACCAGCCGTTGGTTCACGTTGTGCGCATGTGTAGACTGCAGGTGCGAGCTCCTCTGTTCAGCACCTGAAAGGATTTCCTTCTTTCTATCTTTGCATCCCAAGTTGCATGTGGTTTCACTTGAGATAAGGCTGTTTGAAGTGTTCTCTTTTAATTAAAGTAGATGCTTCAGAAATGCATATGCTAATAATCACATTGTCCTCAGTACAAATGGAAATCAGAGTGCCCTTCCAGCCCAAACAGGGCCAGCCATGGCCAGACTGGCTGGACCGTGGATAGGCCCAGAATCCTCTGGTTGGTCAGTGGTGTCCTGCAGAGCCCTCAGCCCTCTGCAGGGAGACCTGACAGGGCAGCAGACAGTGTCAAGACAGAGCAGGAGCCTTAGAGAGATGGGGTTAGCGTGCTTCATCAGGAGTGAGAAGGGCACACCCGTAAGCAGCCTGATGCAAAGTGATGTGGGCCAGATGTTCAGTAATGCAGGAAGAGGGTCCCTTCACACACAATGAGCGTTGTCAGTGAGGGTTTTCTTCTCTAGCAGAGTCGAATTAAAGAGGGCAGTGGCCCCAGGCAGCCATTATCACAGTCTCTTACTGTAAGTGTCACGGTAAATTGGTATTTTCCCGCCACAGGCTAGGCACTGGTGTCTTTTAGTGAGAGTGCTCAATTTGTCGTGGGCTCGTCAGCGTGCATGCCCAGGAAGCTTGCCCATCTGCTAATGGACACCTTGTTTCCACAGTGGTGTTTGAGTGTGACGGTCCCCGAGGTTCCGAAGTTCACACTGCCTCCACGGATGCTCCCAAACAAGTAGGTCCTACACATAATTGGGTGTTTGGGTTTCAGCGTGGTGTTGGGAGGTGCTTAATGGGACACCACCAGAGCACCAACGGTGTTCCACCAGGGGAGTGCTGGTACTGCCGGCCTCATTCACAACCCGCCCTTGGACAGTCCCCAGGTGATGGGTGAACATCAAGAGGTCAGGGGCACAGGGCTGGGGGGCGATGGTGCTGGGGGGCAGTGGTACTGGGGATGATGGAAAACCCTAGAAATTCACGCTATTTTTCCCCAAATGGCTGGAGTCTTGAGTTCACTTGAGAGTGAATTACATTTAGCCTCTTTTACAAACACGTTTGTGCTTCTCTGTAGGGAGTGTTTGTGGCCAGCATGATGAGCGTGGTGTTGCAGGGCTGTGGGCCTTGGTTCTTGTGCTGTGGGCATTGCTTGGCATGGCAACAGTGCATTAGGGTGCCTGTGTATGCGTGCATCCATGTGTGTGCCTGTGTACACCTATGTGTGTGCATCTGTGCGTGTCCGTGTATGTGAGCACCCGTGTGGGCCCATGTGTGCCTCTGTGTATGGGCACATGTGTGCATACGTGTGTGCCTGTGTTCACCTGTGTGTGCATCCATGTGTGCACACCTGTGTGTACATGTACCTGTGTGTGTACACATTTGTGTGCATCTGTGTGCATGAGCACCCATGTGTGTCCCCTCTGTGTGTGCCCCGTGTGTATGCATCTCTGTGTGTTGTGTGCCTGTGCTCCTGTGCGTACATCCATATGCACCTGTGTGCTTCTGTCAGTATGTGGCTCTCACACGGGGGCCAGTGGGTGAGCATAGAAAGTGACAGAGCCTTGTGTGTGCCTGGTCCCCAGGGTTGCTCCACAGTGTCGGCAGGGCCCCGGGTGTCTCCTGTTACCTCAGGTAGGCAGAGGGCAGGTGCTCTCGGGCTCCGATCCCTTTTCTGCCCTCCCTTTGTCTTGTCCGCACATGTGCATTCTCTGTGCGATGTTCCTGCCCTCTGATAAGAGGACTCTGACTGCAGACTCTGCCCTGCGCACAGGTCAGCTTTCTTTCCCATAATAGACGGGCCCAAGGTGTTCAGTCTGGGCTCAGTGAGCACACCTCTCAGGACCAGCCCCTAGGTTGGATCCCATACTCGAGGTCAGGGCCTCTTGCGGTGGCTCTGTCTTTCCTTTCCTTGACAGTGCTTTTGTTGACCCATCGCTGAACATTCTGGGTCGGTAAGAAAGTTCCATTTTCCTTGAGATACTTTGGAACTGTGTCTTTAAGAATTCCCATGGAGACGTGTGGGCCAGAATAACTGGAAAGCACATCAGTGGTGGGTAGAGGTTTAAATGTTAGGGTTCTTCTTTCTCACTCTGCAGTTCTCATTATTTACAGAAATTACAACTGCAGTGTAGCATAGGCTCTGTCCTAGATGTCCCCAATGTTTTTGTCGCTATTTATGTGTAGAATGTGCCTCGTTATACTTATCGGCCTTTCCTTTTTGGGCTTGGAGTGCTCTACTAACATTAATTAATACTTAAATCAAATTCTTTTCCTGTGGGCTTATGAAGCTATAGATCATGGGGGCTTTCTTTTGGATCACATGACGCTGCGTACTCATGTAGTGATCGTATGCTGTGACAGAAGTTGACATACACTTTTACATATACATAATAGACGCTCAATTGTCCGGTCGAAACACTCCTTGGAAATTGAGTTTTCTGGTCATCATGTATTCCCCCATGAACGGGGTTTACTGGGTATCCACTGCAGGTCAAGCTGAGGCCAATGCTTTTCCTGCTTCTGTGATTCTTAAGCTCCCATGCTTGGTTTAGACAAGGTCACAGGTGCATTGCCTCGCAACAAGGGTGGAGGGTGGACATTCCCAGAGGAGAGCCCAGAATGTGAAAGACCTGAAATGGAAGAGTGTGATCTGTTGGAGGAGCTATCTGAAGGTGAGCGTGGCTGGAGGAGGGCAAATTGGAACAGGTGGGCAGAAGTGAGGGAGAAGGCTGTCCTCACTGGGACACGGAGTGTCCATGCTAGAGCACCCAGTGGAGGGCTGACATCTGCCGACCCAGCCTTGTGGACTTGTGGAGGTTCTGGGCAGGGGGCCGGGCAGCCCTTTGCAGACTCTTGAGGCAGCCCAGTTGGGGGGCTGGAGGAGGAGGGAAAATTCAAGAGAGGCTGGGGAGGAGGTGGGGTGCAGGGGTCCTGGCTGCAAGGGAAGGAGAGCGATTGGGCCCACTCAGCGCCCTGAGTGAGGCAGCTACATGGGCCAGCCCATTCCAGAGCCTGGAAGGAGAAGCAGGGTGGACCCATTTTCAGAGTAATTGTCAAGTCTGAGGTGGCTTTTGGATGAGAAAAAAGGGCATGTCCAGCAGGCAGGGATGCACTGGTTTGGATGGAGAGGAAAGATTCTAATGAGCCTCTTTCTGCTGGATAGCTGTCAGCACGGAGTTCATTCAAGGTCAGCCACTTCCACCCAGAGACCTGAATGGTGTGAAGTGTTAGGACAGCGGCCCTCTCACCTTGATGCCCACCTTCAGTATCACCTTGATGCCCCCTGGGTTTCCTGTCTGTGGAACAGTGAGGGCACACTTTACTGGGCACAGTAAATGAAGAGGTGCAGCACCTGGCATGGGCATGCATCCAGCCAGGTCTCCTCCTGAGTTGTTCTGGGAATGAGCTGTTGTCCTAGTAACCAGGGAGCACGGTGAGCAACATGCATGCAGGCACATGGGAAGCCATGTCTGCACAGCCACCAGCAGGTACTAGGAACCTCCCCCAGGGCCTCTGGTCTCTGCTGGGTGTCCTTGCTTTCTCAGGGCCACCTGGGCTTGTGTGTGCACGTGCCTCATTTAAGAGACAGATGTCTCATTAAAGGCAGGACACGAGGAAACCCAGCTTAGGAAGAGTTTTGTCTTCTGTCTTCCATTCATGCATCCAGCTGCTAATTGTGGTTCCCACAAGACCCCCCCAGTTGAGAACGGCTGTTGTTGGGTGCTAGGTGTCCAGCCATGGAAAACTGCCCGACTTTCCATGTTCGTGTTTTCTGAATTAGAAAATTCTAAGAAACCCTAGCACACACGATCTCCAGTGGAACAGTCTCGGAGTTGAGAGCTCCAGGTGAGTCTATGGAACCGATGTCACTTGTCCCAGGCCAGAATCCAAGTTCTCATCAGCACACGTGAACTTTGAGGAGACGCGACAACAGTGTCCTTTGCTGTGTGTCTGGGAGCAGTCTCTCTTCTGCAGCTGTCCCATGTGAGCCTCTTCCACGACAGGCCTGGACTTTCCCAGAGCGGCAGTGAATCCCACTGATGGGCAGGTGTGGGGTGGGCGGTTTAGCCTCTGGAGTTGAAAATAGGGTTTCTAGGAGGTAGAAATGATCATGATCACTACCTCTTGCCTGGATATCTCATTCTTTTGAATTTTGTGTGTGTGTGTGTGTGTGTGTGTAAAACTAGAAAAACGTAAACGTTTTTAGGCACTGGCAGCAAAGAGCCATCTTTGTTTGTGGGCACCTGTGGGCAGCTCCTCCAAACCAGTGGATGGATATCTTTGTCCACTGGGTGCCTTCCATATTTTTGTTGAAGACAGACCTGTCCACATGGACAGCCAATCCTGGGAGCCACATTCTCACAGAGAGGAGGTGTTCATACATACTGTCTCTTTAAGATGCTTTTCCTGTTTTCACGTGATTGTGTAGATGCTCAGGCCCTGGTGGTCACAGGATGCACTAGAAAGGACATGTTTTGAATGACCTGATGAGACGAGGTGAGGTGCTCTGGATGTGTGAATGCCCAAATAAAACTGGGAGGTTTGCTTACTGTTGCAGCAGTGAATTGCTTTAACATTATCATGTTGTCCTTAAACATTCGGGATTAAAATACTTTCTGAAACCAAGAAAGATGAGCCTCTCATCCCACTGGTTTTGGGTTTTAAAAGACCAAATTGGCTATCGAAACATTGAGTCTGGTATTTTGATTTGTTTGGATTTCTTGCTAAAATTTAAAGACTATGATTAGTAGTTTATTTCTTATTATTCTAAGTGTTATTTTAAAATACTTAAGCTGGAGTAATAATTTCATTAATCAAAATAACAGGAAATGAAAAAATAAATGGCAACCTAACTTGTCTCATTTTTAACTATGGATATTATGCTGCAAGTGATGGAGAGTCTTGTAGGTTGAGAATTTTGCAGGTGGAGAATCTGGTAGATTAGTGTATTTGAAGATATGTGTGATCTATTTTTAGTATCACTTTTAGGTTCTCAACATCATATATATCACATTTCAAAATGAAGGTCATTTGTTTACATTTTTCTTATTCATAAAACCAAACGAGCATCTTAGGACTAGTTATTCATTTTCTCTAATGTGCTACCAAAAGTCATGGGCAGCACTGGCACCTTGTCACGAGCCCCTGCTGACCGGCTGTGTGTTGGGGAAGGTCTTGGTCCACAAGCTGTGCTGCGTGCTGGTCCCTGAGCCTGGGTATCCCATCTGCCTGTCTGATACAGGCCCTGTCCTGGAGGCTGAGCACCTCCATGTGCGGCTGGAGCACAAAGGGCTTCTTTGCCAACACTTCTTTGGCACATACCCACGACTGCATGTACGTGCCCTTACCTCGGAAAGCAGGGGGAACCAGACTTCATGAGTTGCAGAAGTCAGTCTCTGTCCTGCAACGTGAGCAGCCCTAAGGAGAGTGTCAGCATCACTGAGAAGCTAGGGTCTGTGTTACTGTTTTCCCTCCCAGGGGAAAATGCAGCTTGCATGTGGTCAAAATGTTACAGTGTGTCCACTTCATGAAGGTGTTTCTGGGGTTCTGTTCTATCTTCCATTCATTAAGAACCCTGCAGGACTGCTTTATTGAATAATAAGTTGGTGGCCTCAATGGATCAGTGGTCTAAAATGACTCTAAAAAATGAGGCATGGGAATGCATCTTTTCAATTATAAAGAGAAAACAGGACCTGGGCATCTGGATTTATGGACACAACTTAACAGTCTTCTTGGGTTTATCCAAGCTTTGCAGACCTAAAATGCACATTTTAAAACTTCCTGAGCCCTGTGGTTTAGCACCCCAGCCGCCTCTTCCATATCCTCTGTTGGGGGTTGTTGGTGCTCATTGTTCATACCTGACACTCTGTCCACTGCAAGTCTTTGTGGTCAGTGCAAAGGTGATTGAAGGCCAGTGCTTCCAGGGCTGCAGTCTATACAAATTGTAGACACACAGGACACTGTACATCCACATACATCTTCTCTTTGTGAATGTGCCCTGATAGGTCCTTCTGGGACCTACTGATGGTGAACGTCCCACCGAGCCCCCAAGATCTCTCCCAGCATGATACTGCTGTGCAAAAGTCACTGCAGGAAGTTCACTAGCTACATGAGGGAGTTTTATCACATCCCCATTGATTTCTGCTTCCCATACCTCAGAGGCACTGCCGTCCACACTCTGCCCCCACCCCAACCCCGCGTGTGTTTGCGGAGTATCTTCTGGCTTCCACCGTATGTCAACTGGCAGGTGTGATGAATGCAGACCAGCTTTAAGTAGCAGTTTTCTGAAACTGATAGCTCAAGAAGAGCACTCAATTTGTGATGTCTGCCAGAGCTGCCTTATGTCTAGGGTTCCGTTGGCATAACTGGAGACTGGAACTTTCTGTGAGTGTGGTGGTTTGTGTGTGCCTGTTAATTTCAAGCAGTCTGTTTCACTTCGTAAGTGTTTTAGTTGGATGTTACTATGGGGCGGTGAGATTAATCTCTCCATGTTGCTTTGTCCTCAGATGGCAAGTGACACTACTCACATGGTGGCACTTCAGATGTCACTTGTGAGTGCTGCAGGCTCCAATCACACTTGCTTTTACCTTGCGGTTCACCCTAGGATACCACTGCTATTTTTCCAACATGGTAATTATTTACAGAAATTGGTGAAAGCTCTCTCAGGTTCTGACAGACCTACCTGTATGGATGGCCTAGACGGAGCCATGGGACTGTCATTCCCCCTGGAGTGCTGCCTCTCAGTGCTCCCCACCTCCCCTCCTGCCCCCTTCAGCCTCTTCTCCAGGGCCAGTTGGTTCACCACTTCCTGCAGTCCCTGTGTGCGAACCCTGGAGGAGTCCAGTGAATCTGGCAGAATCCCTGGGAAGGGTCTGGAGCTGCAGTCGGGCTTTGGCCTGGGAGTGAACTTGAACCAGAAGGCTCCAGGAGGGAGGAGGAGGATCTGAGCTGCTCTGTTCTCTTTTTCTCTCGCAGGGGGGAGACCACGCCCACCCCGGCTCCGCGCAGACCCTGCCGCTCAGGAAGGGAACCTAGGACGCCCGCGCCCCGCGCGCCCCCTGGCGGCCCTCGGCCGTGTCCTCCCAGACGTCCTGGCTGCCGCCCCGCTGCGCCCCTGACCATCCAAGGAGGAGCCGGAGGCCTCCCGACCAGACACCTCGGCCGGAGCCACCGCACTGCAGCGGAGCCTGGTGGCGAGGCCTCTCCCCGCTGAGGCTTAGGAAGCGAAGACGCCCAGCCCGGAGCCCGTGCAGGCCGCGCCTCTGCCGCCCTCCGGCCACCGCCCGCTGGGCGAGCAGAGGTGCAGCGGGCACAGCGGGCTCCAGCGGGGCTCCAGACGTCCGCGGCCTCCGAGACAAGATTGAGACACTGGAAAAAAAAGAAACTTGTGTGTTGGACGGAGCAGAGAAGCTAAGCACTGTAGTTGGAGCCCAGAGCTCAGCGGGACTGTCGCGTGGTGTCAGGGCGGAGGTGCAGCCGAGGTCGAGGAAGCGATACTACTGCCTCTCCGTGTCTTAGTGGGTGTGGACAGTAGAGAACACGGGAAGGAGCTGGCCTTCAGGAGCCGTGGAGCTCGGGTGCGGTGGAGAAGCGGTGAAGGATCCCCACCGCGCAGAGGTCCGGCCCCTACCTGCCGGCGGATGCCTGCCTGCGAGCGCGCTCTGCCCACCTTCCTGCAAGTCCAGCGGAGGAAGCACGTCTGTCCGCGGGACGGGTCGCGCTGCTTTGGGAAGGAGAGCTAGTGGGACACGAGGACAAGCAGGCTTCTTTGTTTAACTCAGGACCTTTTTGTAACAGGGCTACATTCTGCAAACTGCTCACAGAGGAGGGCTGCACGTCTTAACCAGTTACCTAGCCACTGAGTCCTCCCAGTCTGGGCCTGTTGTAGTAATGGCAGAAGAACCCCTGAGCAGAGGGGGCCCTCAGCACTAGGGTGCCGGGCTCCGCAACCTTCTGCTCCCCACCCCACCTCTCCCCTGCACCACCCCAGCAAGTAGGTGTCTTTCCTCTTGGGCCTGGTGACCTCCACAGGGCGAGGAACGGCTCCCGGCCAGTGGGGGTCACCAGACTGCGGGTGGAGACGCTCTATATACCTCTTCCTCGTGGTGCACAGCGAGGGTTGGTGGTGGGTGGTGGGGGTTCGGCCCGCGACAGAGGACCTTAGACCATGCAGTGTACGCATCTTAATCGTATTTCACAGATATAAATATTTTCTTTTCCTATTGCCGTGACACTATGTGTGATGGTAATATTTCTGAAAGTTTCAGATTTTTGCACATATGATTTTATGCATTATCAAAAGTTACTGCTGCCTTGAATGAAGATGTTCTGTGAAATTTTTTGCAAAAGCTTTACTAGTTTTTTTTTAATTGTGAAATTTTGTAAAGGCAGGAAATGGATTAAAATGAGCATGCTAAATATATTTTTCAAAAAAAGCAATAATTTTACATGTACAGAAATTATCCTAACCTTTAATACTGGTGAGAGCAACAGTTTACTTAATACAGTAATGGATTAGTGCAGTTTTTGTAGAAAATGGGCTTCTGATACAAAGACTTTGTTTAAACACACACACACTCCCAAAGTGTGCTTTCCTGTTCTAATGATTTGTTGGATTATTATATTATTATTATTATTATTTTATTGTTATTGTTAGTTAATGTTTGGGTCTGGATTCTATTTGTTACTGAGTTTAAATTACTTGACAGTTGAGGTGGCGGCCACACTTGCAGACAATGCAACGTAACTGCTAGCTTATGTATATCTATCTATATTATTTTTTTTACTTATTTTTTTCCTGATAATATTACACAGATATGTATGGGAATGATCTGTCTTGGTGTGCTTAGGAATGTCCGTGCGCACGTCGCATGACATCGTGGGGTGTTCTGGGAAGTTACTTGGAGTGAGGTGCTGAGGTGCCTCCCTCTGTCCACCTAAGATGTCAGAACACCCTTCTGTTGGTTTATGTCTGATCATTTTGATAGTTTCCCCAAAGTGATCATTTCTGCGTTTTCTTGGCTTTTATTTTCTTGGCTGAAAGTAAACGGTGACAGGGACGTTTAGGGACTAGCGGTCTGGTCCTGTCTGTTCTCTGTGTTTTAGTTATTAAAAGACCTTCTGTACCCAAAGTGACACACAGGTGTCGTCTGCATTCTTCCTGTTTCAGAGCGACCTGGGAAAGCGCAGATTCACCCCGACCTCCTGCCCAGTTGGTCTGGGGGGGAGAGGGGTGAGCCTTCCCGCTGTGGCAGGGTGGCCTCTGAGTCTGGCTCCTGGGAGAGCAGTGCGAGGACGGCGGGCCCCCACTGTGTCCCCCACCACCTGGAGGGCTGGCTCCTTTCTTCCTCTGATCATCAGTATTGTATTGGTTTGTGAGTTTGTTGATGTCAGTTCAACCATAGTATTTAATATGATTTATGATTTCTTATTTATTTAGCCACTGTGTTTTGATTCACTTCTCTGAATGATGGTCTCACACGATACGCTTCTAAGTCGCCTCTGACTGTTAAACTCTCTACTACCTCTGCTGTCTGCCGTCTCCTTGTGTCCTAACAGATTTACAGTATTGGTCTAGTGTGGCTTAGACCACAAAGGGTTCAGCTGTCCACCCAGCTGTTCTGTCCCTGCCCTGACCTGTGTGCTTGCTGCTTCCTGGCTCTGCTCGCCTGACCAGCTTCACCCACCACCTTCTCCCTGTCACCTTCCTCCTCCTCACTCACATCTCCTCCTCCTCTCTGAATTCACATAACACACAAATGATGAGCTTCTAAAAATCCTTCAGGTTATTCACTCATAGTCCTTAATTCAAAGAATGAACATTTAAGTCCTCCCCAGTGCAGATGCTAATTGTCTTCTCTGGGAATTGACCACTGTACCTGTCCGCGTTTCTTCCTAGAGAGTCTTGTTGTAATCTTAGGTGGGTGCATTTCACCCTTGTCAACTCAAGACAGATTTTGAAGCCAAGTGGATTTTTCCTTTTTGGTTCTAAAAAGTATTAAATATTTTAAGATGTGCCCCCGATATTTACTTATTTATTTTTTAACCCAAGGGAAACACTGGTTTTTTAAAAGTAAGGTGCTCTAGGAAACGGCAGCTGAGAGCTGCAGGGGTCACTTGGTAGGACGAGGCCCACTGATGCTGTAACAGGCTTGTTACCCTGCGCCTTCTGCCTGGCCTTGGGGCCGCCTTGCTGGGCGCGGGACCCAGGCATCTCTGTAAGGCACATGGAGGTCTCAGGGCCTCACACCTCTCAGGGTGCAGCAGGTGGCAAGCCCAGTTTCTCTGGGGCCTCTTGGGTGGTGATTCTGGTCATTTTCTGTTCTTTCAACCAGAAGAGCAAGTGCAGTTGATGGGGCGATTGGGGTGTCTGCCAGATCAAAGGGAGTGGGTGCAGTCCTCGGTCTGTAGGGAGGAGAGCACCCCTGTACTTACAGCCAGAGGCTTCGCCAGCATCCCTCCAGATGGAGAGCCCACCCGACCAGCCGAGAGGCTCCCCTAGACAGACAGGAGACTGCTCTCGGGGCTTCCCCCTTTCCGCCCGGACAGTATCTGAAGGAACGTTTGTGTTTTACTGCTTTTAGCTTTAGTGACTTATCATTTGCAGATATTTATTCACTGAGCAAGAAAAACAGAAATCACAGGTGAGGACTTGTGGCAGTGATGAGGTCCTTGTTTGCCGAGGTTCACACACACTCCAGAGCCCTGACTCGCCTCCGGGGAGTGACCCACCCAGGGTCACCCAGCAAGGGAAACGTCCATTCTTCATCAACTTCCTAACTGTACTTTGAGACAGTAAAATGCAAAAGACCATAGAATTTGTATTTCTTTTTTTAAAATACAATTTATAACATTATATTTTGTACTCTTTATATTAGAATTTGTAACTAGATTGATGTATTTAACTCTATTTCTGAAAAAGTAATTCAGTGTTTCAGTTGTGTGATAAAAATATTTAGATAAAACATATTCATTCTATTGGAATTTGAAATAAATAAAGACATCTTGGAGTTCTTGAGATTTGTAAGACCTTTTACCCTGTTTCAGAAGGTGGCTTAAGTCATTCAACAGCCGGGGTTATTTATTTTTGTTGGCTGAATATAGACCAAAGTGTTAATGTTCCTTATTAATATCAACGTAGTAGTTCTAGGATGATTTGAAAGATATTCATCTAAAGAGATGCCAGAATATCCAGTGTGATTTCAAGTCCCCCGTGGCCTGCAGGAGATGTGTGTGCTCTGAGGGAGGAGGCTTGCTGGCCTCTTCTCCCCGCACACCTCCCAGTACCCCTCTCTGCCTCTCGAGCACACACGGGGCTCTGGTGCCACTGGCAACCCCCAGGGGCCACGTGGGAGTGGACGTGAACATGGTACAGAATCGGCCACACCTGAGTAAGACCAGTGTACCAGAAGATGGGCTCCCTGGGGCTGCTACTGTGCTCTGCTGTGCTCTGCTGACATCAAAAGCAAGGTGTCAGGCCATCGGGGCAGTGACACTACTAACCAAAAAAAATAGCCTGTGTTGAAGTTAAAGATGTGCTTGTGTCTCTGGGTGGAGGAGAGGAGAAGGGGAACCTGAGCATGGCTTTCTACACAATCCTGGGCAGAAAGTTCCAGTGTGGACTGTGCCTGGTCCCCTGTGTGGCAGGGAGCCCTGGGCGTGTCCCTGCTCCACTGAGATGAGTTGCTGTTTGAGGGATTTTTTTTTGAGAGGCCCCTGGATCATGCAGACTGCAGCACAGCTCAGGAAAACTGTGCGACCCCCGTCTTTAGAGCCCACCTGATAGTTGCTGGCTCCTGGAAGGGGGAGATGCCGACGAGGACATGTCAACCCAGATTCCTTAAAGGCAGCCGCTTGGCCAACTCACATGACGGCACCTGTGCTGGGCCCGACCCTGGCTAGATCTGTGTCCTTCCCCGGGACTTCCCCAGGGACACTGATGTTTCTGTGTTCACGCCCCAGATACTCAGTCCCACCCCGGGGTGTTGACAGGCTACCTGACTCCTCCCCAAGACAGCAGCCCCTCGCCTCCTGTGCCCGTCACCTCCTATCAGCCTCTGGGTGGTCAGGTGGTGAGGCCAGGACGAGCTCCTAGAGCCCCCAGCCTGAACTGTTGGGAATTGGACGGAGGACCAGGCTGAGAGCTCACTGTGTAATGTGGATGCAGGACCTGGGTGTGGCCCAGGACTCACATGAGTGTGCACACGTAATAGCTGTAGAACACTGCAGTGCATCCATGGGTCTGTGACACACCTGCGTGTCCCCCTGATACTGGGTGGTCTGCAGGCAGCGGGGGTGCAGTGCAGATCTGCGTTACTGACGTTCACAGTCTCACCTTCATAGAAACAAGGTGGATCTATTCAAGGGACCAGCAAAACTACCAGAAGAGTCATGAGTGCCCTGGGTTTCCCAGGCCTGCTTTCCTCACGGTCAGCTGGTTCATGGAGCCATAGCATGGATCCAAGGGAGGGGAACCCTGTGGGAATCTGGAGCGTGCAACAGGCACCTGCTGCTCTGACCCCATTCACAGGAGAGGAAAGGAAGTGAAGGATTCCTTGCAGTGAGGCAGAGGCGGGAGGAGAGCAGCCCTGGGCCTGCCAGGTTGCTTGGACCGGGTGATTTTAAGCTTCAGGATTATTGCTCTCGGTCAGTCTGGCCCCAGGAGTCCCAGGGTGAGGTGGCAGCACTCACTGGTGACAGAGCTGGCTCTCTGCTTCCCAGCTGATGTCTCCTGTGCGTTCCCAGGTGGCGGGAGGACTGGCTCACGTCAGTTTCTCTAAGACACTGGTCCCCTTCAGGAGGCTCCACCCTCGTGACCCCATCACCTCTCAAAGGCCCCCCTCTCCACGTGGCCTCAGTGGCCTTAGGTTTCAGCTTGAGTCTGGGGATGGACCTCAGGCCATAGAAAACGCTCCTTTTTCCACAACTGAAGCAGACAGGAGGTCCTCATTCAAGCCCATTTCCTTGATAGTAGCGGGGCCTTGGCTTGGTGGCCCACAGTGTCCACTGGCAGAGGGTGAGGCGGCTCTGCCTCTGTGTCCTGCCTTGGCAGAAGAACAGCTTCTGGGCCTCTTCACTGCCTCTCCACCTTGGGCTGTGCCGAGCTCCCTTCTGGGAATCCACTGAAGGGGACCTTGAGGCCACACAGAATGTTTCCAGGACAGGGTCATTGGGTCAGAAGGCTGGTGGCCTTGGAGAAAGGCTCACTACTCCGTGAGCTCTTGTGAAATGTCTGGGCCACCGTGGGCCTTCTGAAGCTCTGTGCGTAGACCTGAGCTGTGTGCTGGCAGGCTGCTACCTGTGCAGAACTACCCTGGGAGGAGACGAGCACCAACTCCACTTCCTGATCATTTCTGAAGACTGCAGTATTATCATCCTTGTTCAGAGAACCAAAGAAACATGGAAATCTCACTGCATTGAAAGATCACAGACTTTCTTAAAATCATAGACGGTTTTTGGTGATGTAAATTTACCTAACCAGTCGCATGCTGTGCGCTGTGTTGGGTCTGCCCAGGAAAGAAAACAGCGTGGGACCTGCGATCTGTACTCACATCAGAGGAGCAAGGACCGTGGGCCCAATGCAGAGGGAGGTGGGTCCTGGTGAGGATGCAGGTGGAAGAGGGATGGTGTCCACCTGGGGCAGAGGTCATGGATACAATGAAATCAAGTGACTGTGTGTCACCAGGAGCAGGTGATGTCAACCGAAGCCTTTGCTGAAATGAATTGGGGTGGTGTCCTGGAATTGAAGTGATTTGCCTCTGACATTCAGACTGGCCCTGCTCGGATGGTTTCCAATGAGATCTCCATGTGGGAGAGAAAAGTGGCTTTGGAATTTCTGGAAGGGAAAGTCTCAAGGGTAGGATTGGGAGGTTACCCTGGTGTACGTAGAGCAGGTGAACTGTCGGGTCTGCAGGGACATTGCCATGATTCCTTGATGATGTTACTTCGGAGTGAAACAACAGAGCCTCCCAGCTGCCCAGATACGGGGGTAGCGTGGGGGGGGCAGGGGCAGCACAGCAGCTGGCCACGTGTGGTTGGGAGGGAGGGAGTGTCTGCCGTTGAAATTCAGGGAAGCAGAGAACAGTTAGGGGTGGGTGACAGAGTGACCGAGGGACACATAAACCTGAGACAGGCCAGGTGAGAAGGTGTAGTTGGGACACAGCTGAGAGGAAGTCTGCAGGAAGGTCATGGTGGACGCTGGTGTGTGCGGCAGTGACCTTGCTGCAGCTCCAGGAGACATGGCTCTAAGCCTCAAAGGAGAGAGAAACAGAACAAAAACTGCCATCTCAAAGGCCACTTCCGGCTGAACTCGGATGCTCACCTTGTCTGGTGCGGTCTCGGTGCTGTTCGAGGCAGGCGTTGAGAACTCCCTGGTACAGGAGAGAAGTCAAAGTCACGAGGCTACTGCGAGTCCAGGTGTGTGGGCCTCTGCTCCTTGACCTGGTGGATGTGGTGCCCAGGTAACATGTGGCTGCCCCCCAACGCTGATCCCGCTGGTCCCAGCACCCTGCCAGGTGGGGGGAAGGCGCTGTCTGCCTGCTCTGTGTGTGGGCTAGGCCATCCCTGGATCAGAACCAGGGACCAGGGCACGGAGGCTGCCCCGAGTTGCCCTGGTGCGAGTTCAGGACTGGCATGGGGCAGGGAGGCCGGGATTTCTGCTGGCCTGGGGTGAGGCCCAGGGGTCTGCTGTGAACATGAGCATCCACCGGCCTCTGTCTCCCAGCCTCTTTCTCCTCCAGTGCATCCTCCTTGCTCATCCGGACATGCCCAAGGCACTCCCCACCACACACTGGCCACATGTGACCCTTCTGGGCCCTGGGCTCCTCCATATCCTCCAAGGCCGGCCTAAAGCACCTGCCATCCCAGTCTTCCTGGGGACGCCCACCCTGTGTCCCCGTGTCACCAGCTGTGGGGTCATTAGCCACATTTTATTCTGGCTTTTCTGTGAAAGTCCCACCCTCGCAGGTGCTACCCACGCACAGACACCACAGCTGCGGCTGTTCCTGGCTGGCCTTTGCTGTTTGCCCTGGTGTCTCACGCCGTCCCGCGACTCCACGCTGCAGTGCTTCCCACGCACCTCCCAGTGATTGACATGTCACAGCCCTGGAAGTGCGGCATCCCCTCCCCCACGCCTCTACCCGGGGAAGGGGATGCTGCACTTCCAGGGCTCTTCGGTGACCACCTCGTCTTTGTGCTTGTCCCTGTGTTGCCACCACGGGAACTTTCTGGAGCCCGTGTTAGATCATTTCACACCCTTGATGGAAATCTTTCACTGATTCTCCATCACCTTCAGGAAAACCCCCACCCCCTGTGCTGTGGAAAGCTTTGCCTTTGGTGTCCATAGCTGCCCATGAACACACAGGACCAGGCCGTTTGCATTTCCTAAAGGTGCTGGCTCCTGTTGACCGACTTTGCCTTTCTTCTGTCCAATACTCGAGCCCGAGACACAGACCTGTGCTGACTGCGCCCTCTTCCGGCACCTCGTCTCTCCTGACCCAGAGTGGACACATACTTCCCCTCTGGCCTCCTCTGCACAGCAGGTGTATCTGTGTATCTTGCGCTTCTCACATCAACCTGAACAACCCTGTCCGTAGTCTCCCTGAGGACTGCGTTCCACCTCCCCCTAGGGCGGACATGTTCATTTCACCTCCATGGTCTGCCTGGCCAGGCCATGGTAAGCCCCAGGGCAGGCCTCCTGAAGGTGCATGGGCCACCATGCACTGCTCAGCTTCTGCTCACCTGGCAGGTTAACTTATGGCTGCAATTTGCAAAGTGCAATGTGACACGTGGACGTGGGTTGGAATTAGTTACAATGTTTCCTTGAATCCTATACAATTATCAGCAGGTAGCATGATCTTCAGATGCCACCTTTAAGAAATACTGTTGCACTTATAAATCAGGATTTTCTAATACCTATGACATGTGAAGCCTAAGTTGTCCTTTGTTGAGAGTTCTTTCTTTTTGTCAAAGGTGCAGGTTTCAGGCACACTAGGAGAGTTAGACTGGTGACACCAAATGAG